GATGATGACACGAGCAGCTGTCATAGTAATAAGCTTCAATGTCTCAATAATTTTGCAAAATTATACCCTTTTTCTTCTCTTTGATCATGAAATGCATTTCACTGGGTGAAATGCCTCCAGCAGCCTGTGGCAGAAACAGAGTCTATGGCTGGAGAAGACCACCTCTGGGCTTTTTGTATCAATTGCGTCTCAATATTTGGCTTAGCTTTTAGAATTTAGGAAACAAAGTGTCCCTTGGTGGCCCATTGAGAGATGGTTGGCTGTTCTGCATGTGCTGGCTTGGCTCTCCATGGCCAGAAGCCTGATGCTGGAGGGTCAGAGATGCATGCAACACTAAGAGGCAGCCCCTGCCCTGAGGCCAGCTACAGCTCCAAACACTGAGGTTCCCTTTGTTGAAATTCAGGTGGATTCCCCTTGTTAAATCATAATTTCTTTTCTTCCTGAAGTAAATTAAAAAGAAAAAAATAGCTCCTCCTCTCCCTTGGCACAGCATTATGACCCAGTTTTGAAAAATGATTAGCTCCTAGAAGAGTGGCTTGCAGTTGCTGCATCAAGATGGTAGGTAATGAACATGGCAATAGCTGCTAAGTACAGAAAAATAACCACCTCTTGCCAGAAATCCAGCACAGTTTGAACTACTAGTTCATAGTTACAAAAGATATCATAAATCTTTGCATTTTAGCTTTTGGAACATTAACATAAATTGTTTCCAAATGCTCTGAACCTGCATGGCTTATGTCACTGAAGTTGCCAGACACAGATCTTCCTTTTGCAGGGAAAGGAAAATAAACAGATCAAAAATACTCCAGACCTCTGGGGGAAAAAAAAATAAAAGTCAGGTGGGAAAAATGTGTGTACATGTTGGAAGAAGACAGGCTTCTCCAAAGGCCTTTTATTTCCTGCACAGGTGGCTAAAGAACTTCCTGCTCTGAAGGCACAAGAAAAGCCATAGCTCTATTGACCTGGTTGAAGTCAATAGCAAATCCTCGTTTGGCATCTACAGGGGTTTAATTCAGTATCTCCAAATACCATTACAACAAGAGATCACAGCTTCACTTGAACAGCTGCACTGTTTTAGACAATTCATACAAGAATATCTCTTACTAGGCTTGCAAGCAAGATGGAAAAAGAAGACAAAGTCTGGGAGAGCCAATCCCTTCCCCCAACACCCCAACAGCAAATCATGTCAGGGGATGGGAGAACACCACATGGGCATGGTAGTGATGGGCTGATGGTTGAACTACATGATCTTAGTGGTCTTCTTCAACCTTAATAATTATGTGATTCCTTAATAAGTCTTTAACAACAGCTATGAAAATGAGCCTGTAGGAGCAGAAAGGGGAAGAATATAGAAACAGAGCTTTTCAGTCAGCCTACTACTTAATTTCTGGTAATTTTCATGCCAATTTGTACTGCCTGAGAGACACAATCTGGGTAGTGCTAACATTTGGCATAAGTTGGAATTTTCTTTGGGGATGCAGTAGAAAGCTGCTTTCCTTTTGGAGATGTACTTGTTACACCTAATGATGTAGGAGGGAAACTGTATGACAGAAAAATCATTTTCTCCCTTATGATAATGTTGAGAGCAATCTGGAATATCGTCAGTATAAAATAGCAACTGCAGTAAAATCTAAAGACTTCATTGTACCACTGAGAGACATAATAAAGATAAGCCTCTGGCCCACAGAGCTTTACATTCAACAAGCACCAGCACAAGAGAAAGGCATTAATCAATGGCAAGGAGGCTGAGCAGCAGTTTGTGCCCATCTACAATTGTTTGTTCTTACAGCCTAAAGCAGTGCCTAAAAAACTGCACTAAGCTCAGTGTGACTTTTTATATATGACAGGAATCTTGTGACAGGCAACGTAAATGACCATGTGAACTAATAGGCATAAGCATGCTTGGTGTGATTTTACATTTGTTTGTAAGACAGCAGTGATTTGTGTGATTTTCCTGCTAATATTTAGTAGATATGCCTTCTGATTACTTTACATTTAATTACTTCTCTCCAGAGAAGAATACAAATGCCAAATATCCTCAAAATATAGCATAGTAAATCTTGAGATCCAGCCCAAGACTCCAATCTAAACAGCATGGAGCTTGGGATGTTTCATTCCAAATTACAGCTCTATGAAGGAAACCACACCAACCTGAACGCCTAACTTGAAGGGATACTGGGTCTGAAGTCAGTGCTAAATCCAATGAAGGACAAAACCAAAATGCAGATCTTGGAAATTTTCCTCTTTTCCCTTTATTTCCCAGACCTCTGGAACAGTGCTTCCATCCGGAGTCTTCTCAGAGTGGAATCACCTCAAATCTGTGGGGGACACAGAAATTAAGTCTGTATCACCCTGCTCCAGGAGAGGCCCAATCCACAGTGACAACCTTGGAGCACCTTTAACAAAATCGTAATCCTTTCAGGATAGGGAAGAAAGTATCCAGGTATTTTTCAACATAAAGTGACTCTTATATTAAGCAAGTAATAATATTTCCCTCTGTTCCTGTGAAAAACACCCAGAAAATAACACAACACACGAAAAGAACCACCCTGTAACAAAGACCCAGAACACCCAGTTTAGACAGAATAATGATTTCTTCTAGTCCCAGTCCAATTCTATATTTTATATTTTGCAGTTTTGAATGAAGGACAGAAATACTATAAACCTTCAGTGGAATCATACTCTGCATTTTTTTTTGTGTAAAGAGAAACGTTTTGCTCTTTGGTATCACACATCTAATTCAGGGCTAGAAGAAAACAGCTCTGAAGAAAGGTGAAAAATGCATGTCCATACACAGCTCCTGCTCAGATTTCAGCCTTACAGTAATGCAAATTAACAGTGGGACCAAATCTTATCATATAATATATGCTAGGGTCTGGTAAAAAGCTACAGATTTCTGTCCTTGGACAAACTGTCGCTCCTATCAGACTCAGACATATATACATACATGAGTGTACACTGTTCTCACTCCATTTGTTTTGCTGAAATCTTTTCTTGAAGGAAGTTAGTTCATCTCTACCTCTTTCACTGGAAATACAAATACACATAAATCCACTGTAATCTATTAATTGTTGTGATAACAATTGCACCTTCGCTTCAACAGAAGACTAACTTGCTAGAAGCAGGTGGAAAGGAAAGATAACCCTACACCAGCTCTGTTTCTCATTCTCCTCCCTTACACTGCCATTGCCAGCCACTGCTGCTGGGTTCAGACAAACTTTGGGTAGCCTGCAATTCTCTCTCTAGCATAATTCTTCATACCTTCCATCTTTTTGTAATCAGTCTTTGTGATCCTCTCTGCTCTACTGAGAGCACCTGTATACTCTTAGCTCTCTTTTGGAATAAGAAAGTTAATTAGTTCCTCCCTGTACAAAACAGTTGGACCACTGCTCCATTTGGGTTGGCCATAGCACAGCTGACCAGCTGTCAAAATTTGTCTTCCAAGCACAAATTCCTTTTTCTTAATCATTTACCCAGAGCTCAAAAGACTTCTCAGCAGCTGAGCCATCATGTACCTGCTTTGCACATGCAAAAGCTCTCCCCTTTTAGCCTGTGCAAATCATCACACAATTCAGCAGCTGACAAAGCATCAAAAAGAGAAAGTCTTGTAGCCACCAAGACAATCTTTGTTCATTCAGACCACTCTAAAACATTACTCAAACCCCAGTGAGAAAGGATACAAGATGATAAAAACTGAAATCTTGGAAGAGAACTGAAAATTTCCGAATGCCCTACGAGTGGCTCCTCCAGCCAAAAGAAAGGGACAAACTCCAGAATCAAGGAACCTGCGCCAAGAACACTAAGCGAGTAACAACTTTTTGTTTAAAACTGAGAGCTGAAATTGGCAAAAGGACTGCAGCTGCTGTAAATGTCTCTTGTGTGTGAAAGACAGAGATAGCCACTGATGCCATTAGTACCCAAAACATTTCAGGCTTTAGAGATGAAATCTGGCTTAGAGGAGAGCAGGCGTGGTGAGCAGTGAAGGTCATGTAGTGCTTCCCCTTCCTCAGCAAACAGCTATGCCCTGCTTCATCTGTGACTTCTGAACAGAATTCAGGTGCAACACACACTGTGAGCCTCAGGCAAAGAAAGAAGCCGATGACTGCAGTGAAACTCAGATCCAAAACAAATTGTGCTGGGCAACAATGAACATTTATGCAACTAATCAAAGGCATTTGTGTCAGTGTTGCTTGTGTGCACATCCAAAAGATGCTGGAGACATAACAAGACAAGCAGAGGAAATAACGTGTCCTTCATTCCTTTGCTCAATCTTTATTTGACATTTGCCTGAACCAGAATAGCTAACACTCACTTGTGTCCCTGTACATGGCAGCTGCTGGATGAGTTGTCCAAACTCATTCAGCTACATCAGAGAGGAGTCAGATACGCAATCATTGCCCCCTACTTCCTGCTGTGAACAGTGCCCATTGTCCCTTCTGTGGGCAGGAAGAGAGAGGCACTGGCTCACTGCAGGGCAACTATTGGCAGCCACTGGCTTATTGAGAATGTAGAGGAGGAAGGAGCAGAAGTGAAAGCAGTAATGTTTGATAGCCTATGCATGACTAAAGCTTACCAGCAACACAAACTTGCTTCTTGCCTTACAGAAGTGGTGCTGGTCTTTCTGAAGATTAGCTGGCTCATTCTCTCAGGGTACTTGGTTCCCTCCATGCCCTACAGAGTCAGCATTTTGCATTGGGCTTGACGGTCAAACATACCTGGTATTCTTTAAGCATCCCATGTAAATTCTTCACACATTGGATTTACTCATATTCCTCTCTCTCTACACTCGCTCTGGTCAAAGGTAAGTCAGTGAGTGGCTAAAATAAGTGGGCTACGGCCTTCATTGAGCAGGGTGAGATTTATAGCTTGTTTTCTTCTATTGTGTTGATTTATGTAACTGAAATTTGAATTTGATAAACTGGAATTGATAACAAACCCTTCTTGGGGTGTCAGATCAACTGTGGCTCAGTCCGACGTGCCCATTTCTGTCTTTGCGGCAGGACAGCTGGACTCCAGGCATCACCATGACTGAGCGTTTTGACTGCCACTACTGCAAAGAGTCCCTGTTTGGTAAGAAGTACATCCTGAGGGAGGACAGCCCTTACTGCGTGAAATGCTATGAAAACCTCTATTCCAACACCTGTGAGGAATGCAAGAAACCTATTGGAGCTGACTGCAAGGTATGGCAGGCTGTGTCTCATTATCTTGGTAGGGTAGTCTAGATACATTTCCTGTAGTTCTGAACAAAACCTATGCTCTAGGGCACAAAGCCTCTGCACAAAATGGGCTGATCCCTGAGCATCTACAAAAAGGGGACAGAGTTGTTAGCAAGGTCTGTGGCAATAAGACAAGGGCAAATGATTTCAAACTAAAAGAGGGGAGGTTTAGGTTGGATAAAGGGTAAAAGTATTTATAGGGAGGGTGGTGAGGCACTGGCACAGGTTGTCCAGAGAAGTGGTGGATGCCTTGACACTGGAGACATTCAAAGCCAGGCTGGACGGGGCTCTGAGCAATCTGATTGAGCTGCGGGTGTTCATTGCAGGGGACTTGGTCTGGATGACCTTTAAAGGTCCCTTCCAATTCCAAGGATTCTGTGATTCTATGATCTTATTCACTGATGTAGTGAATAAATGATTTGGTCTTATCAACATGCTAGACACATTTTTGGAATCAGCGGGAATGCCCAGGACATGTATCTGGAGGCCATGATGCACAGGCAACCCCTCACTATAGCTGAGAAGAATAGGTGCTTTGCAGCAGCAACAGAAATAATCGAGAGCACAGAAGTTTTCAGATGAAAACATTTGATATTAAAAATATAGCTGATCCTTCAGTCTTTCCCCAGAGTTACTGGGTTACATTTAGAGAGCTTTTTCCAGAGGTAATAAGTGCTGACATTTTAATATCATTTAATACGGAAAACACTGTATTTGTGTGGGAGCCTTTAAAGGTGTTTAAAATATGATGCTATTACTGAAAGAATCCGTAAGTATAGCTTACTGATTACAAAGGGTTGATGAGAGAGCACGCTTTCTGGACACTTGTACCTGCTTTTCGCCACTTCCCACTGCAAGCTCTGACTAAACAAGCATAATAGAAATGGAAAAGCACCCTTCTCTTCCTGTAAGACAGGGTGATCTGGTCTTAAAAAGTCTCTCTATCTCCCTAGGAGAGCCCAGCTGTCGTTGAGGCCACCTGGGTTATGGAAAGGTGGCAGAAACAAGTATTGCCTACCTTTGGATCAGAGGGAGCTAAGTCTCTGTTAGCTCTTTACTAACCATAATTCATTGTCATCGAGAGACAAGATGCTCAAGAAAAGCTGCCAACTCATAGACAAAAAAAAATTGGCTAATGCTGAAAGAACTAATATATGAGTTATAACACAATTAGCCTTTAAAATAGAGAATAATGATAGTAGAGTATAACGAAAGATGACAAAGAAAGAGCAGATGCCTTGCTTGCTTTAGCTATGCGCTGCTGCACCTCATGGCAACATTTACCTGCTCTAAATGAGGTGACACCACCTGCAGTTCTTTCAAATTAACCAGAACAACTGGAGTTCACGTCAGTTTTACTCTGGGTCAATGAAGAAAGATGATATTTGAGGAGTCCAATTTGAGGTGCTTGTTAGACTCATGTGAATAGATTTCATCCAATATACACCCACTTTGCCCAAAACAGACCTGTTAAATTTAGCCAAGAGTTTCACTGGCAGAGTGAGTTTGAGTGGCCATGGGATTCTTGATCTGTTTGTGGAGGTCTGACCTTTTATTTCCTACACTGTTGGCTCATACATCTAGAAACACCAATTAGTTCCTCATCCTGGTGCTAGCACCATATCATTATTCCAAAGACTCTGAAATATAAAATCATATGTTGATCCAGAGAGGAAAAATTTGAAATCCTGTGTCTTCCATACTGATCTATTTCACCCTATTGGAAAATGGCTAGGAAAGCCTCTTTCGGAAGCCTTAAAAAGGGGAACATGTTTCACCATCATGACAGGGAACTGGCAATATTCTGTATGAGCTATAAAACTGCCAGCTTTCCTACAGCTCATAAATATGCAGATCAGAGAAGAGATACAGCTGGCCTGACCTGGAAAAGCAAAATATTTCTGCCCCAATTCTAGAATGTGCTTTTGTTTTAAGCTCTCTTTCTAATCCCCTGAGAAGTTATTTCCATGTGTTGATATTCAAGAATTTCCAAACTCGGACTGCCTTCAACAAATCTTGGACAAAGTATTCAGGAATTAATCAGTCTGAACTTTTCAACTCAGATTTATGGATTTGGGGAGCGTGGGTGTTATCCAATATACTTCTCTTCTGTACTTTTAAGTGAGACCCACACTAAAACATAAAAAAAGAGAAGCACAAATTTTCTGCATATTTTTATATGTTAAAATATATATATATATGTGGAGAATGCAACTGTAAGATAGCAAATAAAAAATTCTTAAAGAGCTGTAAAGTGAACCAGACACAAATGCACCCTTGTTTCCGTGACTGCTGTTTGTGCCTACAAACAGTCCTTTATGCTACAGTTTTTCAACCTGACTGATTTTAAGCACATTTTTACAGATGAAGAAAAGTTCCAAACTTAGCAAGCTCCTGCAAGTCTTCTGAAAATAAAATATGTGGTGCGTAGTAAAAAGGGGATTCGATTAATGTTCCCACTGAGAGGCAAACTAGAGTCATTTTTCAATTACAGTAATAGGCACTCCAGAATGCATTTGAGAGAGTCCTTGTAAGTGCCTCAGCCACAAGTTTCAGTCAAAGCCTGAGCACTGTGATTGAGCATAATTCAGCCATAAAGCACAGTCACATTATCGTGCTTCTGATCCTTATTTAGCTGTATATACATATATGTACATAAACAGATAAAAACATACATACAGTCATACATATACATGTGTTTGTATGTGTGTATTTTATGTATTATGCTTGCAATACAGTGACAACATACTGTGCTTGGGAATAAAACCACGCTTACTGCATGTACAAAGTGGACTCAATATGTATTACTTATTCTGACAAAATCTTTGTACAGCTTTTTACAGAACAGATACCTGATGTAGTAAAAATGTTATCACCCACCCCACATCTACAGGACAACTTGAAAAGCTCCATTTAGCCATCGACTCAGATTCTCCTTTGCGAATCCCATCTTGGCCACTGCTGTTTCTCTGCACTGAAGAGAGCTGAACTGATAACTTAGTTGCAGTGGAGACAGAATCATAAAGGTTGGAAAAGACCACTGCAGTCATCCAGTTCAACCACAGAAATATAGAAACACTGAGGCTGGAAAAATGATGTTCTTCATTTCACTCTGCTATGAATCTCCTTCTTGCAGATGGCTTGGTTTACAGCTGTTTCTTAGAGCTTACAAAGTATGAGACTAAAGATAAGGATTAAGATTTGGAGCACCCAATTCCCAGAGTGAACTCTCTTTCACAGAAGTAGGTGCAAAGCAAAAATTAGCTTTGATAGCATCTTAAATACTTGTCTGGGTGAAAATGACCATACAAAACCAAGCAGAACAAAAGTGAGGAGGTTTCTCTCTTAGTGGACAAGAGCAACCGTCCCCTAGCTGAAGGGCTTACCCCAGAGTAAACCAGGTGGTGACAAGAGGACAGCTGCTTTTCCATCTCTGACCCTACTGTGTTCTCCTTGCAGTCTGTCATCTCACCTGAGTGACACTTCAGCCTGCTCTGGCTCTGGTAACATTCAGACTTGGACTGGGCTTTGGGAGGACTGAGCCAATGCCACATTTTCACCTCGTGTTTCCAGGACAAGGAGCCCATAAATTAGCTACCCCGAAGACAAGCTGCCTTTGAATACAGAGCAGGAGAGAATTTGCTTTACCATCTTTCAATCTTTTTTATGGTGATTTCTGAGTAATTGTATATGTAACTGAGTAATAACATTTTTTATTTATTTTAAACGCTGTCTTTTACAAAAAGAAAAAAAAAAAAAAAAGCCTGAATGACAGCATGTGATGTTAATTACACCTTTGGATTTAGGCCATTTTGTAAACTGTAAACAATTCAGCTGATGTTTATGAAATTTTCACACACACATTAAAAGCTTCATATGCTGAGTGGTAGGAGATAGTAACAGACAGAAGAAAAACACGACGCCATTTCTCTCACAGCTATTGCACATTATCCATATGCCAGCAGGCCCTGGTAGAAATGTGCTCCTTCTAAGAAGGAGAGGTTGGCATTTCAGTTCCCATGTCTGCTCACTACACCCACTGCTTCACACTTCTTTTTGGAAATCATAGAATGGCCCTGGTTGAAAAGGACCACAATGATCATCTAGTTTCAACCCCCCTGCTATGTGCAGGGTTGCCAACCACCAGACCAGGCTGCCCCGAGCCACATCCAGCCTGGCCTTGAATGCCTCCAGGGATGGGACATCAAATTTCAATCTATGGTAGTTCTGTAGTCTCTTATCTGTGACTATTAGTGCTTTATCTAACAAGAGCACGTGGCAGTCCATTTTCATAGATGCATAGATTGCTGATAAAGACAACTAATTTCCAGGTTTCTTTTAGGCAACGTAGGATACCGCCGAAAACTACAGCTCAAGGGTGTAATACTGGGGACTCATTTCTCTCAAGCTACATTAAGCAGACAAGAAGTCATGTTCATCAGTATTTTAAGGATATACTCCAGTTCTGAGTACACAAAAGCAATTCTCTTTTTTAGTTTTTCCTGGAAAACCAGGAGATAAACAGGAATTAACTGTATATCACTTTTGTGTTCTGCTAGAACAGATTTGCTTAGGTTACAGTCAGCTAGAGTAACTCAAGCTCCCATGCCTTGAGTAAATCAAATGCTCTTTCAGCTTAACTGAGCACCACGCTAACAGTCAGACAAGCTTGAAGTCATCTCTGTAGACACAGCTGCTCCACCACAGAATCTGATCCAGGTCAGTACATCTATAACCTACATGCAGTGGTTCCAGTTAGATGTACAATACACCGATGTAGAAAAATCTGATACCGAGTGACTTCATTACACTGACCTAAGAACAACGGTGAAACAACTCAGAAAGTGTTTCATCAGTACCTTGGAATTCCTTGCTTCAGCTGACAGATTCAAAGAGAGAAGACAGTAACCATTTAATCTGTCCAATACTCTGCTGCAGGCACATCAATGTCAGACATCTTAAACATCCCCTACACTTGATGACAGTATCTGTTATAATCATCCAGGCTGGCTAAAGATTACTCACACCAGTGTCTACCTTGCTTTCATTGGGTTACAGCTATGATTCATCACTTCGCCATGATGAAGCGTCTGCTACTTTGACCTACTCCACTATGATCTATACAATCTGCCATCAGAACTGATCCAAGGATTAAACACTTCATCAGTAATACCTAATCCTTTTCTTCATTATTGCTCTTCTGCATGGCACAATTTTATTGATAAAATAAGGCAAAACAAAAGGAAATATCAGCATGTGAGTTTGGGATATAAAAAGCAGCCTGTAGAATATTGCAAAATGAGGAAAAAGGCAGCATGTGGAAAAAACTGAATATGTCCTGTTACAACAGGAAGAAAAACAGATCTTGTCATTCTGTTTTCTTGCAGGCAAATTTCACATCTAGAAAAGCTGTCGGCTGTGAGTAGTGTTTTTCTGTTGACAATATTATTCCCCTCTGAGAACAGATTTAGACTACTCAATTTCATTTAAATTAATTAAGTTGCTTTTTTTTTTTTTTTTTTTTCATTTTGCTTTTAGAAAAATCTGAGATTTTATGGTCAGAAATTTGAGTTGTTTCAAAAAGTTTAGCAGATAGGCAGATACTCCTTCTTGTAATGATCTGAGCTGCACTTTGTCTGATCTCCCAAAGACACTGTTCAAATGTTGCATAATTATGCTACTTAGAATTTTAAAAGACACAATCCATCCAGGTAAGTCACAGTTCTCAGGACTGGTTTTTACCAGTGTGTGTCTTTTTTTTGTTGTGACTTTGTTTTAATTAATACAAGTATCACTGGGGAGATACTTTAAATAACCTATGTGCTCCAAGGTGTTAATTTCTTGGTTAAGAGTGCTCTGGATCAGTTGCTGCAGGTACATTATGGTCTCTCATCTTCCAGAGTGTTCAATCACCATCAAGGCATCCGATTCTCATTTGAAACGTACATAAAATGAAGCACAAGACTTGGTTAAAAACTAATTCCAGCACGCAACAAAGAAACAAGCATCAGGCCAATTTCACCCTTGGTTTAAACCTGACAAACCATCCAAATGTGACTGGGAAAAGGATAACAAGAAACTACAAAACGACCTAGAAATTGGCAATAACTAAGAAAAGTGTAGGAAGTCCATTATATCTCTACAGTTAACAAGATCTAATCTGGATCAAAACCAGGACTTCATTCTCGAAGGAAGTACCTAAATGAAACTAGTTGTTCCTCTGCTGAATTGAAATTGAATTCAGTTGAGCTGGAATTCAAAGAAGACTGATGGTTGTCATCAGCTACTTTTGGCAACCGCAGAAAAATAGGCTCACCTGCATCAGAACACGCTGTTTTCCTGAGCGGTGCAAATTAGCCTTAATTTCTGTCTGATTCAGATCTGCATGTTTGCATTCTCTGAACTCCCAACTGAGCAAACTATTCATTCTGTTTATTCCGTGATTTTTAATTTCTGCAGGATCTGTCTTACAAGGACCGCCACTGGCATGAAACCTGCTTCCACTGCTTCCAGTGCAAGAATTCATTGGTGGACAAGCCTTTTGCTGCAAAAGAGGAACATCTACTTTGTACTGATTGCTACTCCAATGAATACTCTTCCAAATGTAATGAGTGCAAGAAGACTATTATGCCAGGTTAGGATACTCACTTTTGGGGCGGAGGAAAGATCAGGTTTAATATCAAATCTAATCTCAGCAACTTTCATGACAAATATTTTTCCTTAACATTCTCTGCTGAATCATGGTGAACTTCCTAAAACACAGCTGATGATGCTTTCTAAATTATCCTTGTAATCAGAACCCACAGTTTTCAGAATGGATCTTGACAGAATTGATAGACACATGAAGAGAGTTTCTTTTGAAAGCAAGCATTTATTTAACATAGCATTTTTGTTCATGAGATCTACAATTTTCTACAGAAATATTTATTAAAAGGCTATTGATAGCTGGGCAACTCATCTGTCCAGTCCCAACTTTTCAATTTGCTCCTCCTGCTTGAATATCAGAGGAAATTCACAAATTTAAATTGACTTAATTCATGACATATTCTTTTACACAAACAGCCAAAATTTAGATTCTTCAATAAAAATCAATAATTGGTCAAAATGCCTCTAAGGTGTTTCTTGAGCTCAAAAGTATAAAGAAATAGGAAAGAGCTACATTCTCTTTCAAGTCAGGTATCCCATAAAACCAGTGCTGGTAGCAGAAAGTTATAGGAATAGATTGGTAAAGCCTCATTTACTCATGACAATACTAAAGTGCTTGTCTTTTGATTGACATGGCTCATTATTTGAGGGCTTAAATTGAAAGAAATATCAGTTTCAGAAATAAAAAAAAAAATAGAAGGCAATTTGAAGAATTCAAAAGTACACTCCACAATGACTACTAGTTACTTTTTTCCAGTAAATTTTTTCCATAGCTGGTTCTCATGTTGTATATCTTTGACAGAAGCTGGAAAACACCACTTTGTGTATCTAAGATGTTTTGATAAAAATGAGGGCTTGATGGAGATGCAAAAAAAGGATGCTAAAAGCAGATGGACATATTCATTCATAAAATGAAAGGAACATGTGGGCATGGTGGTGAGGGGGTTGATGGTTGGGCTAGATGATCTTAGAGGCCTTCCAACGTAATGATTATATGATTGCGTACAAGCATCTCTTATTACTGCATGCACCTCTGTTTTTTCACATACAGCATGAAAAACTGACATTTAAGAACAGTGCTAGTTTTAAAGCTGAAAAATATTTTTATCAAATTTTGATCAATGAATTCAGTCCCATAAGAGCTCATTTACAGAATAGAATTGATAGGTATTAATTGATTGGTAATAATGGAATTGGGATTCAGTGATTCAGAGTCCCTTCTTCCCTTTCAATTCAAAACAAAATAAACCAATTTTTACAAACCTTTGCAACTACCACATGGTTTTTAGCAGATTGCTGATTTATTAAAGCATTTTCATGACAAGCTTATTAAATGCTAAGTAATTACAAGCTTGATCTTTCAGTTCTTCTGCAAACAGAATTCCCATCAATATCAAATGAGCAAGTAATAAACAGGATTCCCCCTGCCTTGTGTTTTAGTAATAACACAATCCCAAAAATAGAAAACAGCTAAAAATGTGGAAATATAATTCTAGACAATTCCAAGAAAATGTGTCCACATCTTTTCTCAGAATTTCATTCCTTCGAGGACCTTTCAGCCTTCTAACCACTTAAAATCACATCAGTCCTCTAAAAAGTGGCCAAAGTTTTCATTATTAGCAGTAAATGCCTCTCTTCTTTTTAGGATGAGAACCATTTACTCTCCAAAAACTCAAAGAAATACCCAATACCATGCAAAGCCACTCCCTCATAGCTGTACTACTTATTTTCCAACAGCCAGCTGTCATGTAAACAAAAGCTACAAATTGCATTAGTCTCAGCCATAAGTTCAGTTTATGTTCTGTTCTCATTACAGGTACTCGGAAGATGGAATACAAAGGCAACAGCTGGCACGAGACCTGCTTTATCTGCTACCGCTGCCAGCAACCAATTGGGACAAAGAGTTTCATTCCTAAAGACAATCAAAATTTTTGTGTTCCCTGCTATGAAAAGCAGTTTGCCATGCAGTGCGTCCAGTGTAAGAAGGTAATGCCCTTGTTTTATTTACCTATAATGTGGGGGGTTGAACTCCATCACATTTTAAGTCCAATTATGCAAAAACAAACAAACAAACAAACCCAACATTTTTCTCTGTTAAAAGATTCAGTGACAATTGATTTTTAGAGATGATACAGTTGAAACTCCTATTCTACACAAGGCACAAAAGCTACTTCAGTGAGAATTCTTACTCAAGGTTAAAGATCCTTTTATATTGAAACAGAAGACATGTTTTGGAAAGCAAACAAGCAAAAAACCCATCTGCATTGGAATAACCTCCTATCTCCAATGCAATCATCATATACCATACACCCAAACGTTTCAACTGGAAGGGAGATGAGCTAGCAATGATTTATTTTTTTTTTAATATACTAACGAAGTTGAAGATAGAGAAATAAACTTTACACAAAGCAAATGCTGCTCCTGAAATAAAAACTAGTAAGCTCAATATGTTAGAGAATGCAGCTTTCTAGACTCAAGATCTTTCAATTGTGTATTTCCTAAATTCAATTCAGACTAAAGTAAGATTTTTAGTATTCCTTCCTGTTAATAATAGATTTTAAAAAGTCATCTTATAATTCACAGAACCAACAAACATCAATTTCCTATCAATATACGCATAGGTTTTAAATGCAAATATATCCATAGTTTTAACCCTCCTTCCAATAGTTTCTTCCATGTTTTGTTTTACCTTCTGCATGCTTCCAGCCATCACTTATGCTTACATTACCAAAACTTTTTATGCCTGCCAAGTACTCCAGATCGCATTACTTTCAGAGCAGCCCTCATATACAGGAAAGAGGCAAAGACAGATTGAATACACATATTGGATAGCATGTTGGTACACAAGACTGACTTCCCAGGGAATCTCCTTTTAGTGAAGATAGGAAGAAAAGTTAAACTGATTTTACAGCTTTCTTAGAAACACTTGCAAGAGCAAGAAACGTTTCATTTATCCAACATCGGGGAACAACGTATCCTAAGAGGAAAAAGCCCAGACAAAAATCATAGAAACAGAAAGCAAAGATTTCAGGTAAGATTTGAAATAAAGCACTTGTTGTCAAGAGAATTAGCAGGAATTGAAGGTGGCTTTTCCATTATGAAGAATGGGACAGGTGAACAAGCAGAGATATTTGTCTCACAGCACATGAATGTGAAAAAAATGGCCTACAAAGGAGACCAAAGAATTTAAAAATAAAGAGGGTAATTTAGACTAAAATTATAAAGAATTCAGAAAATAAAGTACTTTTAGTATGGGGCTCCTTTGTATAAATTGGGAAATTATAATGAATCACTCACATGCTCTTCTCAAGGTGAACTTCAGACAAAATGATGATTTTGCTGCCATTAAATCTTCTTTCCCTCCTCCTACCCGTGAAAACCTCATCGACCTTCCTCTCTACCAAATGAAGATGAAAACCTGCCACTCTCAAAATAATACTTTCTGTCTTACTTTCCATAAAACAGGCTATCACTACAGGAGGTGTGACTTACCGGGAGCAGCCTTGGCATAAGGAGTGCTTTGTCTGTACTGGATGCAAGAAGCAGTTGTCCGGACAACGCTTTACCTCCCGGGATGAGTTTGCATATTGCCTGAGTTGCTTCTGCAATCTCTATGCCAAAAAGTGTGCTGGATGCACAAACCCAATCAGTGGTAGGTCTCTCATGGCGAGTCACTTTATTACCGTTTTCTCCATTGAACTGCATCTAATATTAATAATGGTTCAGTAATTTGTTCTGACTAGCTTGAGAGAACTGAGCCACTACACAGTTCACAGGAACTGTGAACTTAAATACTTACGATGCCATCCAAGTGCCTAACAAAGAAATGTGAAAGAAGTCCTTAAGCTGAAGTTTGTTCCATTTCACTTGACTTGTATGAAACACAGTGGCCACACAGTGACATTTATGCACGTGGTGGAATATATCCATGTCCTGTAAGTCAATTCACTTGTGCTCATGAGAGGGAACGCTGACTTCAGTAACAACAGTCTCTCAGCCAGCAACATTTAACCAGCTTACACCTTTCACTGCAGCATAGCATATTTCTTCCCTGTCCTGATTTTTCAGGACAGCAACCGAGAATCTCAATGCTTTTACATACTGCTTTCCACTACAACAGCGCTCTAAAGCTGTAAGCAGTCATTCTTTACATTTGAAACACTTAAAATCACCTACCTTAAAATCACCTAATCAACATTTAACACCAAGATTGCATATATGAGTTGATTCTGAACCATTCTCTCTCCTGTTAATTCTGTTCTGCCCCACACTAACGTATGCCTATTAGTATATCTCCCAGAAATGTCACTGCATAACACCTTTCTTATTATTACCCATCCACAAGAGACCTTTCTCTTGAATATCAGTCCTTTCTTTCACATGCTGTTTTCTTTTTCCCCCAAATTGTTGCTACTAAACGCAAAGTAAAAAACACTCTCATTAAGTGATATGTTCTATGAAATAATTTCACTGACTTTCAGCTAGTCAATTCTAATTCATCATGCTCAAATTGCTTATCATTTCTATAGTTAAATAATAATTACCACTATAAGAGAAAATTGCCCCTCTTATCTTTTATTCTGTAAAATTCCTATACCCCGTATGATAACCTCCACAGCCTTACACTTCTGAATTATTTTTGATAACCTACTTTTCTTGAAGCACTCCTCTTTGAAATCTATGAATCAAGTCATTACACAATCTGCCAAGGCTTCATTTCTAATGATCTCAATGCATTTTTACAAAACAAAATTAACTTACTCTGACACCACAGATATTCTGTAAATAACCACCATTCTCCTGTAGTTCAGAGGCAATTGCTTTCCTTTTCTTTGGCTGCAAGCTAAGAGCTGAGCCATCTCTATATTTAACGTTTATTTCTGCCAAATGCTAACAACCAAAGTACTAACAACCTAGTTCATTAACTCAGCTAAAAGCAGCAGAACCACTTAACGATGAAAACCCTTGTTCAAGAATAAGGTGACAATATTCACACAGCAACAAACAGATTTGATACAACAATATTTTTTCACTACAATGCCAGATGCTGTAGCCATCCAGAAGTAGAATTTGAAGTAGCATCATGTAATGGCTCTTCTCTTCTGGTAACAGAACTTCTGTTTTCAAACAGGTCTGGGAGGAACCAAGTACATCTCATTTGAAGAGCGGCAGTGGCACAACGATTGCTTTAATTGTAAGAAGTGTTCTCTCTCATTAGTAGGCCGTGGCTTCCTTACAGAAAGGGACGACATCCTCTGCCCTGAATGTGGAAAGGATATCTAAAGCTCAAAATAAGAAACAGGGAAGAGAGGAAGAATGCTGTGCTTGCAATTTATAGTCTGAACCACAAAAAACTAGCTTTGCCCTTTTGTGTTTTGCTGTACTATTAACATCACTTAACCTTCTTATGAATTTCAAACTCTACAAGTATAGAAGGAAAACAACTTTGGAAACTCTAATAGCAGGGATGGAGTTTAAGGTTTCTATAGCTAACCAAAACTAATGCAAAACCTGAGCTGTAAAGCCATTTGGGTGTTACTGACATAATACACTTTTTTTTCTCCACTACATATTCCAGTTTAAGCATTTAAGTTATGAGCAAGTGATACAGTTCAAGGATTACAGTGGCCACAGGCAATAAATTCATAGATGGATATTCAGGGTGAAGCCCCTAGCCTATTGAAATCAGTAGCAAACAGCATTTAATTTCAATAAGGCTGTGGTCTCACCTCAGTGTTCTTGAGCTATGTGACTAGTGTGTTCTGTCAAGTATGTAGAAAGACTACGGACGTAGAGGGTGTTTTTTAAAGTACAAGGATTTGTGCAATGTCCAAGAGAATGATAAAACAGTTGAAGTGGGAGTGCTTCATAACAGATACGTATTTTATTGCATGACTAGCTGATCATTGTGTGAAGTACAGTTCTGATCGACAGTGTCAGTATTACATTTAGTCAACATTACACTGCACATTGTATTTTTAAAAATAAAAGTCATTTAAAACAAAACTGTTATCGTGGTTTAACTGCATTTACATACTGGTATTTACAAATAGAATGCTTTCACAGTCTTACAAAACACAACATAAGAGCCATACAAACACAAACTTTTTTTGCACGCTCAACTTACTAGAAAATTGTGGTGCTAAACAATCCTCACACAGGCCTTGCTGATACATCAGTCTTCTACTAATTGCAGTCACTGGGAGAGTTTTAGCAGAACTAAACTATGTGAAAATATTGATTTGAGTGCAGCTGATTAAAGCATACTCATAGGCTTTAAATTCAAAACCAAAATACTCTTTTCAGCAACCAAGGTTAAAACAATTAAAACAACATTTATCCTCATGGAAGTCACAAGTTTAACTTCTACATTAGGTTATGCTTTAATTTTATTATTGTATGGCAATATGTAACATCATATGCTATAGCATTATTTCTGCTATATATCTGCTACTAAGGCAATAAAATTAAGAGGAAAAAAGTCATAGGATGATAACCATCTTCCCAAAGCACGCTTCAAGGAACATGGTCAAGTTATGCAAAGCACAAGCCCAGTGTATCTTTCGCATGGAATTTATATCGCAGAAGAGGAGGAAAGTAACACCACTCTTCCAACAGGAATCTTTCTTTCCTATGAGGGTGGTGAGGCACTGAGCAGATTGCCCAGAGAAGCTTTGTTTGAGGTGGATGGATGAGGCCAGGATGGACAGGGCCACAGGTAACCCATCTAGTGGAAGATGTCCTTGTCCGCAGCAGGGGGTTGAAATTGTATAGTCTTTAAGGGTCCTTCCAACACAAACCATTCTGTGATTCCGTGATCTTCAGATGTGGAAAGCAGAATTACGCCTGCGCTTTACTCTGTACCTAACTGTGCAAGGTAAGTTTGCTTCTAATTCTTGCTGCCACTCTGGAATTTGATGTTTTTTTCTTTTTCTTAGTATCAAGCATCAAGCAGTCACGGGCCATTCCTCTCTCAATATTTCAACAAGATAAATAGATGTTTTGGATCAGAGTAGTTAACTGTATAGTTTGAAGAACTTTGCTATCTGACATTTTTGAAGTGCATATCCTGCCAATCCAATCTCACTAAATAATGACTAAAATCTGTCCTTCAGTATTTTCATTCTACAATTAAAGTGGCAGTGAAGAACAGCCAGAAAAATCCTTTTTATATCCATACCTTCCAAAGCATGAGACCACCTACCTCAATTGCACTCCTCTGGGGTCCTGACAATCCCCAGCACACTGCAGCTCTGCTCTAGTACTTTGCTAAGAGAAGGACTGCTATCATCCAGGGAAGTAGTGTAGGACAGTAAGAAAAGCATGGCTTGCACCCTGCCCCCCAAATGTTATTACAGAAATTAGAATGATCCTGGCTTTAAGGAAAGGTAGGTGAAACATGGCAAGGCTGAGAAGCATTTTAGCTTTAAAAATGACTATGACCATGCACCAACAGGATCAGGATAGCATTCCAGTACAGTTCTGCAAATCACTCCTTAACACACACACACACACTTCTAGAAACTGGAACTACGACAAAATATAACCTAGATTTCAACTAAGAAGCCACCCACAAAACAGAACTCCTTTCAGCTACATTAGTGCAAGGATCAGCACTTCACATAACACTAATTGCTGCTAAAATTCCAACAAAGCTTTCTACAATGTAAGCTTCAAGTTCTAGTCACTTGAAGTCCACTGAAATATAATGGTATAAAATGAAGTGGCCTAATTGCTTCATAAAAACAAGTCAGAACTGCTTAGTTTGCTTTTAATTGAATTTATTTAAATAGGATAAGGCTACTTAAAAGACAACTCTTTACATACAAAATGTATATTACGTTAAAGTTTGCTGTACTCAAGTACAAAAAAATGCACAAGTGTTTAGTAAAAGGGAAACAGCACACAGTTTCAAAACACACACATTCTTACCATTTTACAGCATTCAAGAAGTGCCTTTTACGTCATAACAGTGAATGGAAAACTGTCAGTAATGAATTAAGCTACAGTTTTTGGTTTTAACACTAACCAATCTAAAAAAATGTAAACAAGTTCTCAGATCACTACTGACAGCTTCTTTTAGTGAGTTAAGTGGATTCAGAAGTGGATTTTTTTTGTTTTACTCAATCTGGAAGCATTACTGTTATTTACTGTCCATATCTAAAATGGATCTAGATGGGCTTCACCCTGAGCCACAGAGATTTAATAAAAAAGTTGCATCAACTTGATTCCTGCCTTATGAGAGCACTACCAATTGATCCAGATGCAACCTCAAGTTTCACAGAAAAGCAGCATCCACCTTCAACAATCACAGGAAGGAAAAGGAATAAAAGAATTAGGGAGAAAAATGTGCACCTACATACACTAATGCTCTCAAGGTACTTCTTTGTCTTCCTGACCCGATCCCTCTCCAACTGTTAGTAAGTTGAGAAAGCACTGGCATACATTCCATAAGCTTTCCCCATATTTTATCAACATGATTGTAACCAGGAAAACAAGCAAATTTTCTACATCGGCACATTTTTACACTTTCATGTGTGTAAAATACGCCTTTGTGTATAAGATAGCATGGCGCTGATCCACTCACTACTTCCTCTCAAAGATTCCTATCAGACAATTTAATACCATACTACCATCTGTGCATTCATTTCATAAGTCAGTAAGAGAAACTTCAATTTGAAGTAATGCTGTTAAATAGTTCATCTCTTATTACCAACCTAACTTGCACTGTGAATTCTACGCTCGTATTCTATGCAACTAAAAAGGAAAAAGAAAGTTGTCTCAAACTATCTTATTAGCAGAACAGTCAGTTTTCTCATCTAAATGAATTATCTTTTTTGTAATCAAGAACACTCACGGGATCCCTTGAATCTTAATAACTTTTTTAACTACTTACCCAGAACTGGAACAAAAAGTGAACCTTACTGAAAACAAAATAAAACAAGAAAGAGTATTTATGTGTGTGACCTGTAGGGATGTGCAGGAGATGAACTATAATAATCTTGAAAAACAAAAGTGGAGGGTTTAGTATATAGTAATATTACCATCTTTTAAAGAGAGAATAAATTACTTGGTTTAAAATAGTAGATGCTCTTAAGGTGACTGGTGATAATGACTTCAGATTTACAAGAGGGAGCTTTTAAATTTGTAAAACTTCACAGCAATCTGAATCCCTGCAAGGTTTAAAAAGAAGTGTACCTAAATTGCTCAAATATGACTTATCTGTTTGAAAATATGGAAGTAACATTTATGTTTTGAGCACCACTAGCTGCTTCATGGCCATGTAACATGCTGGATTTTCTTTTTTGCTTCTGTAGGCTTTAGGTCATTCTGCAAAAGAAGAAAATACACAAGTATTCTTAGATGTACTGCACTAAGTAAACATTAGTAATTAACCTGCAACATTCAAAATTAGCACTAATTATTAATGTACTCAGATACATGCTACTTCAGCAGCTTTCTACTGCCATCTTGTGGAGAAAGTTAACATCACAGTACCTCCAGAGGAGACGAAACTAAAACCAATGAATTTAACTACATGCAAATCATGTACACCTTCTGCTTTTCCTTAATCCTTAAATTAATTATGCAAAAATACCTCGTTTGGAAAATTATGCATCTTAGTACGAGTACAAATTAGAGCTTTAAAACATACATCTGAAGTTATTTCAAACTGTCATCTTAAAACACATTAGAAAATATGATTTTACAAAAGGGGAAATAAATCAGAGAGCTAGAAAATCAGTTTACTTCTGTCAAATAGTAAACATCAGGAAAAGAAGTATGTTTTCCTTTGTAACAATCTGTCTAAGAGCATGAAGTAATTGCTAAAGCCTGAGATGAATTCATCTTTCAAGAGCCCCTCCCAGGAAACATTAACTTCAAAGTAGAAAAATTGGAGATTTAATGTGAAACAAATACCCTTCACCACCTAAAACAAGAAAAAAGTCTGAGAAATTACAGTTTTAATAGTTCTAACAAGAAGAGTAAAGACAGCGATTTATTCAGAACATCCTGAAACACACTAGTTTTGGCATGATCCAGAGATCTCTCTTCTCCTTAAGAGTCACAGCTATAATGAGTCTCAAAACCTGAGAGGTTGTAGATGATTAGACTCCAAAATCAGAAGGTATCTCCTTGCTATTCTGCATGAGAACTTCAGTTTTTCTTAGCAGAATAAATAAAAATTTAAAAAAAAAATCACTTCATTGAAAAAGCAATATCCATTGTACTAAAAATACGGCACGTTTTGCACTCTGCAACCACTGGCCAAACATTTTGATTCCTCTCGTGCATTAATTCCTACTTAATATCACATTCTACCATAAAGTAATATCAATTTGATACATTTGCCTAACTTCAAACACCTTTGACTGAGAAGGCCTGAAGGCTTGACCAAGGCATGTAATAGAACTTTACAGTATTACCTTGAACAACAAGCTGTGGCTAAGAAAGGTACATGTCAGAGAGTTGTTGATGTTGGTAGCAGGAAACAAACCTCTCCAGCATAAAGCTGATTCAGGGCCACAGTCACGATTCTTGTAAAAGGTGTTAAAGCTGTTTTTCAGAATAGAATCATAGAATCATCAAGGTTGGAAAAGACCGCCAAGATCATCCAATCCAACTGTCCACCTATCATCAATAGTCCCCACTATATCACGTCCCTTAGTGCAACATCTAAACATTTCTTGAACACCTCCAGGGATGGTGACTCCACCATCTCCATGCGCAGCTTGTTCCAGTGCCTGATCGCTCTCTTGAAGAAGTATTTCCTAACATCCAACCTAAATCTCCCCAGGCACAACTCGAGGCCATTCCCTCTTGTCCTCTTCTCCCACGTAACTAGTGAAAGGACAACTCTCATTTCACAACAACCCTTCAGGTTGTTGCAGAAGTGATAAAGTCTCCCTTCTCCAGACTAAACAATCCCAGTTCCCTCAGCTGCTACTAATAAGGCCTGTGCTCCAGATCCCTCACAGCTTTGCTGCCCTTCTCTGGATGCAATCCAGGGTCTTGATTCTCTCTCGTAGTGAGGGGTCCAAAAACTAAACACAGTACTGGAGGTGCAGCCTCACCAGGGCTGAATACAGAGGGATGATCACTTCCCTGTTCCAGGCAAAACTAATTCTGATACAAGCCAGGATGCCTTTGGCCTTCCTAACCACACTACTGGTTCACATTCAGCCAAGCACTGACCAATATCCCTAGGTCCATTTCCAATACAGTCATCCAGCCACTCTGCCCCAAGCCTGCAACGCTGTCTGGAGTTGTTGTGGCCAAAGCACAGGAGATAGCAGTGTGTTTACATGCTGATGTTTAACAGAAGACTGATGGAACCTATCAAATTATGCAGCAAATATATTTCTTGCATTCCTTCATATAAGAATTTAAACAGATGAACAGAAACCTTTGTACAAGGCAATACTGAAGAAACAGTCAATGTAACTGCATGCTGTATTTCTAAAGCTCCCCCTGCAGTTCAATTGAGATCAGATATCTATTTTCTCCCTTGAAGCTTGGACTTATTCCAAGTATTCCTTCTCTCAGTAGAAATATGAAAAATCCCTTGCATTAATTTGTTTGCATCATGAAGTGATACAATACAAATAGAAAACTCATCCCTACCTTGCGGCACATCTCAAAGGGGTGCTCTGCTCCATTACTTCACTCTGCTCCACGCTCACCAACAGGTTCTTAGACTGGTAACACACCAAAATTCAAGACTGCTGCTGCATCTTCCTCCTCAACTTACAGCCATATTCAGTGTGCCAATCCTTACATTTTCAAAAGTATGCCCTTCTGAAGTCACATATCCTGCCTTAGTTCTTTCATCTCTTCAGCTTACTAGCTTCACTCTGCTCTACCCATAGTACAGATCTCTCCTCTACTTCAAACTTCTTTGCAGCTAAATCTAACATGCAGAATCAAGGTAACTTTTACCTTTATGATGAACAGTTCAGTCTCTTATTCCACTACAGCAGCCTTTTCTTCAAGATCTCAAAGTCTCTTATAGGAAACCAGGTACCCAATTAAGATCACCAAGGCTCAAAATGAGCACTCAACTTTTGACTTCTCATTCAACTAACATGGTATGTTGTTCTCATCCCACAATCTAGGCAACTCTCCAGATTTTCTTGTCTAATTCCTGCCTCTCACTTGCCAATTCCTATGTGAGATTTAAAACAGATGGCCTTCTTCCTTTAAGGATATATTCTACAGCTTGCAGCATCTCACTTCAGTTCCTGTAACATCTCCTCCTCCACTTTGACAAATTAAAGCTTGTCCTACTCAGTCATTCAAGTGTGATTTTTACAAATGTTATCATTACACATTTTTCTTCCCGACCACAAAAACCAGACCAGGATGATTGTGCCGTTCTGTAATACTTACAAGATGATTATTTTGTTTGCTTTGTTTGACTCTGTCATCAGCAATACCTTACATATTACGTATTCACTTTACAAAGACATGCATGCTTTCTACAGAGCTGTCTCTAATACATAATCTTCTCGTGAACAAGAACTTCATTTCTTTTCCTTCTCTCTCTCCCAAACCAGTGACTCCATCGCCTGTTTGTAAATATTCTGCTATTACACAAAATAACCCTGGAAGCTTTTACAAGGAGCCACTTTTGGCCCCTTCAAGTTTCGATAAACTGTGAAACAAAACTCTGACCATACATACCGGCAAATCAGATTCATCTTTTGGAACAGATCTCTTTAACTTCACAACAGTAGTTCCCGCTACTGGAGATAAAGGGTGTGTCTTCAGACTAACCAATACACTGTTATTAGTCTTTGAAATATTGTTCTGCTTTGCCTCATTATTCCTCACTTCCAGCTTAGCGTCCTCTGATAAACTGGAGGCTGAAATGTATGTTGAGGCATTTGAAGGAGCCGATAATCTCCTCACAGTATTAGTGATGCTTCCAGCTGGGGGAGGTTTTAGGCAATCAGTAGCTCCATTCTCTGTCTTCTTCACCTTTATGCTTGTGCTTGTTGAATTGCCATCAAAAACAATTAATGGCCGTTTCCTTAATCCTTCCACCGCTGTAACACTGAAAATGCAAATTGTAGAACTATCAGAAACACAAGTCAGATGTTTCAAAAATAGCAGACCCGAGACATGAGCAGTAAAAACAAAAGCATCTTGCCTAATGTAATAATGCATCCCAAAATAATGATCTTAAACTCTTAGCTGCTCCAAATTCAAGGCCAGGTTGGATGGGGCAGCCTGGTCTAGTATTAGGAGGTTGGTGGCTCTGCCTGTAGCAAGGGGGTTAGAGATTCATGATCCTTGAGGTCCCTTCCAACCCAAGCCATTCTATGATTCTATGAAACTTTAGCAATAGGAATTGCTTCTAAAATAGAAAGGAATGGTGCAGGAGGAAAATAGAACACAAAGAAGGTCAAAGAGGGTTGTGTGATTAGCTTCCTAGGTAGACAACTAGGGTAGTACACTGTAAGAATGTATCCCTACCACTGCAGCTATTTCAGAATAACAAGAGATAACGTGTTAAGTAATATCTCAAAAGGTATTTGAGAAAGTGTGAGCCACCTTACGAGAACAGGCTCTAATATTCTGATACTTATAAATCTTCCTGATTCCTCACTTGTTCCATATCACAGTGTTAAGACAGACCAAAAAAAAAAAAGAACAAGATAAGGAACAAAATCATTAATAAAAAAAACCACATCTTTTTGAAATAAACTGTTGAACAGGATCTCTAAGCTTATTTACTGCCTTTTGAATAATTTGTGTCTTTAAGCCTATATCTAGACAGAGTTGGCCAATTTAGTAAAAACTAATTTAAGAAAAAGAAATACTACCAAGCTAACATCAAAAAAGTAGTTAGTATCAGAAAACATCCTGACTGGTGAAAAGAAAAACCAACAATCCACAATTCTACCACATATACTCTACGTAGATTTAGAGATTTAAAAATGCATTGCTTTAGAACAGCAAAAAAACCTGCATATCTAACAAATTAAAAAAAAACACTACTGACTTATAACATTCCTATTTATAAGCTTCAGTTTTCAGTATGCACTTAGTATTCAGTCATCTCACATTAAACAGAAGAATAAAACTTGAACTATAGCATTTTCACCAATGAAATACATTCATTAGTTTGTACCCTTGACAGTATCAACATTAGATATCCCAACAGACTTTAAAAGAAGTATGACTTGTTTGATTTGAAACACTGGATCAGTAGGTACATATAAATCTCACATCAAAATAAGAAATTACAAATCTCTTGTACAATTTCTGTCATGACCAACAGTTTCTTAAAAGAAAGAAAGGAGTAACAGTTCAGAGTCTCAAAGCCCAAATTGTCAGATTTGCTTCTACATTACTGTGTCTTCACAATGACACATATCACACAATTCTCCCCGTTTTCTATTCATCAGGTTCCCAGAACTTGAGACAAAGAGAGACCTTAATTTCATTTGGTACATTTGTTAAGAGATCAGACAACACTTTGCTAGATGTGCTATCCATGCTAAATGTAGTTTCTAGGACAGCTTCTAAAGAACGTGATTAGTTTCCAAGGCCAGGAGCATTAGCTACCCATGGATAAGGTTTCAATGAAACAGCAGCAGTAGTTATAACTCATCTGTTAAATTAAGGAGCATGATTTCACTCAAGAAGTCTAAAAAGCTAATACATACTCCAACAACTTTTTGCTCACTTTGGCTTTGTCCAAAAATTTGCTACAAACTATGTGAAATAAGGAATGCTATACCTTTTTCAGTCACCTTTTTTTTAACTTAAAAGCATCTTCCCCACTGAGCTGTTTTTTATCTTTTTTTTGGTTATTCAAGCTTGAAGACTAACAAGTCAGGAACTAACTGCAACTCTAGCAGGATTGTTATTGTTTCTAAACTGAATTTTACAATTGTAGAATTTGTACAGATAACGACATGCTGCAATACTGAAAACATTCCCAGAGAAATGCTTCAGACAAATTCTAAAACAAAAGTGGACACTGTACCATCAAGAACTGTCACATCTAATTTTGAGATATGTGGCTCATGGAAAAGACATGGAACTTCAGGTGTGACATTCATTTCTATACATGAAGTACAGGAAACTTAAAAGCCTAAGAGCAGGATTCATACTAGCCACACTCTTCAGAGGAAGGATACTGAAATTAGCTAACAGCTGAAAAGAATCATTCTGAGATCCTGTCCTGTTCTGCAAGACGTTCTGTGAAAACTCAATTTTAATGCACATCTACATTCTGGAGAAGTGCTCCAAACACTCAGCAAGCCAGGCTGAATGGTGAGCATGCTCTAAACCTGCTGTTTGTCACCCAGCGCATGTTAAAGAACACCAGCTTCACTACAGGTAGCAAAAACTCCTCTGCATGAGCAATCTGAGTTTCTGCTCTTTCACACAATTACTCAGATCATTCACATAATCAAGATGGCCTCTGGAGCAACTCCTGCCTGTGAGGACAATTTAATAAAAAACACTTCTATTGTTGTCTAGCCCAGTCTGGTATTTAAGGTAGTACCCTAAAATCAACGAGAAGTGTACGTTTAACTCCCAAGTTTATCCCATTTATTATCCCAAGTTAATAAAACAGGCAGGCGATCACCTCTTTCACTGATGTTTTTAGAACTGGTCCTAGGTGCCACTTTATACACTGAACTCAGTATTTTCATTTCATTTGCAGTTCTCAGAGGATGCCAAAGTGGCCTGTTACACTATTAAGGAAGAATAATGAGCCAAAAACCTGAGCACGTATGGAAACAGGCCTCCCACAGACTCAGAGTTTGTGGGTGAGATTCTTCAGATTCCACAGTGCTTCAGAAACTACATCTATATCATGAGATTCAGGCCATCTTCTTCCTTCCAGCAATCAAGATGATCATACAGGCTTCTCTGCAAGATTAACTGTCCCTGAACACTTAAAAGCATTCTGAAATGTTTTAAGTTGCAGAAAACGCGTTCGTTCTTATTCAATATGACTGCCTGCATGTTCAGCATTCAGAAATAAGACATACAAGCTGTGATCTCAGATATCTGATTATGCTATTGAGGTACAACATGATACTGCAGCTCAGCTGATAAACAAAAAAATCTTTCAGTATGTGTCATCGCCATCAGCCTAACTAAATGCAACACAGTATTAAGTTTCAGTTAAAATTATTAATGTTTTGGCCTCCCATCCACTGCAACTAGAGATATGCAAACACACACACTAAACTCTGCTGATCAAATCCCCAAGCCCCATACTAATCCTAGCACACTATGAAAAGCAGTACTTTCCACAGAGGAATGCAAAAGAAAGCTCCTGTTATTTAGCCAGCTTATCTGAGTTTCAAACTGAGCTAACAGCACATTTACTTAGTATCTTTGACTTGCACTTAACTTACAGCCTCAGAATATCTAGGGAATTTGTTTTGTATTTAAAAACAAGAATGCCAAGGTCTACTCGGCACATCACATCAATTCTCCTTAAGCTATGAACACAACTATGAGAAAAAGCCTATCTTACGTCTCATAACATCCAAAAAGATTACTGGATTTCCTTGATTCTTGCTACGTATACAGCAGAATCGAAGCTTTCTTTGTGCAGCTTTTATTTACCCAAAGTGCTGAAATTCTATTGTCTGTTTCCAGTTCTCTGAAGTCAGTAATGCTAGCAGTAAAATCTGCTTAACTACTCTAGGTAGTGCTTCGCCAATGTACTTCCAAGTAAGAAAGACACAATACAAGCAAAAGTAGCAACTGTCAGAAAATCTTAATGTCTAACATCACAGCGAAAGATGAAACTTGGAAATCTAGATGATAAATACTAACGGCCATTAGTAAAGAAAAGGAGATCAATAGATTAAACACAGATAATTTCACAGATTGTTTTCCCAGAAAATACAAAATTCATTTTAGTGTACTGAAATAACAGTTCCTAAACTTACTCTAAAGACATGAGGAAGAAGCCGTTGCTCCCATCTAAAAATAATCATGGCCTCCTTCTCTCAAAAACATCCAGGCTGCTATTTTTACTGCTTTGATAAAAAATTCGTTTCCACCTATTTTAGCACACCAATGGTGTCTTGTTATTTGAAATGTCGCTTCATGCTTTTATCTGCAAATCACACACAGACCAAACTACAAACATACCTTTTATGTACATGAGGAAAAAAAAGGAAAAAAAATACCATAAGACAATTTAGTATCCTAGCCATTGCTTTAAGAAAAAATATTCACTTGCCACAATTTGTCTAGCTCTTCCTTGCTAGAAACTTCAGTAAGGATAAAGCAGGCTCATGAATTTAACAAGCTATAATACTACATAAATGTATCATGTGAATTTATGTCCACCTTTCCTTCAGCATTTGTTGAGAGAATTAAATCAAACTCCCACCCATACATATCTCATCAAATTTAAAGTCCTGGACAACCAAAAAACTGTGGGAAGAAAAAAAGATCAGTTAAATAAACTTATGAGAAGATTTTGCTTTCTGATCAGATATAAACAATGGTTTTAAATGTAAGGCAAAATGGTTCTTTCAGGAAGATGATGCTCATTTTGAATTGGACACACAAAACTACTGCAGCATACTTTCCTGATTCAGCAGACCAATTCTGTTCAGTGAGCAGTCATAGCTAAATATGTTTCTGATATATCTGTCTTAAACACCATTAACATAATTCACCTTAAAAAGTGAAGCAAATAATAAATTTTTTCTTTATTTTTCTTTTCTTTAGAAAGTATTTTGAAATGTACCCAGAAAAAGCAAGTACTGTTAACTAGACACCATAAATAACATTTAGATGACAAAAAAAAAAGATTCTTTCCCTTTTCCCCAGTATCACAGTAGCAAAATCTAACATTTCTGACAAAGAAAATCTAACAGCATTCTTTATAAACTCTAACAACATTCAAAACCTGTAGAAGTGGTAATAATCAGATTGATAAAGAGCAAACTAAATGCATTTTTTCAAATTCTCCAACTTATCCCACTGTATGTTAAATTACCTTTTATTCTCACTTTTTGGCTCATTTTGCTGTCTTTTCTTTTCCATCATTTTCCCCCATCTACTTTTTGGTAAGTCACGCTGAGGCAGGGGAATGGCATGTTGAATATAGAGATCTGTAAGCCCATCTTTGTCCATCTTTACATCATTTTTGACCAATATATTCTTCTGTGGGGAAAAAAAAAAAACAAAAAAAAACTGTTATTATGACAAATTCAAAGCACTAACAATTCAATGGCAAAATGTCATCATTCAAAAGTCATTCTGAAGTAGAGTTTAAGACCAACACAATGGGGTCTCAGAAGTGACAGGGCTCCAGAGAGTAACAACGTGGCAGGCCATGAACTGCACTGGGCCAACAACAGCCATTTCCAGACAACTCTGAAAATGATGAAAACAACCCACTGCACTCCAAAGCTTCAGACAACCAGAAAAGAACATAGCACTTCTGCTCAAATACTTCTAACAAAAAGAAGCAGCCACTAGGGACAGAGGACACAAAAGGAGACAGAGGAAAACACACATGAAAACACATGTGAAAAGATGAGCTAACAGCTAACTCTGATAAAAAGAAACCCTTACATGCTAATCCCCATGTCCTGCACTTTCCACTGACTCATGGAAAGAACTAGGAGGGTCAAGTGTAATCCACACTTGAAAACAAGAAAAGTTGAGACTACGAAAGAAGCATTTCCTAAGCCTCTGTCTAATAGCCATTATCTCTTACTCGTTATATGTTTTTCATTGCCCTAGTGTGGATTTCTTCTATAGGACACAATTCACCTAGAACATTCCCTGCTCCCATCTTGGTTCTCCACAGGTTGGAGCCCACTCAGAGGCATACCTACTCTTTTTAAGAGTGGTTCTCCAGTCACGTCCCCAAGAACTTCAGTTTTTCATGGAGAAGCAGGATTCATTTTCCTCTGTGTGCTCATCTGTCTACTCCTCCACATTCACTGTGCCTTCTGCTTCCCTAGACACTGCCACCCAGTGTGAAGAACATTTGAGCAGTATCACAGGCTACTGATTGAAGTTTTGGTGTGCAATGTGCTGTTTTCACCACAATCAGATCCAACTGTGACCAGCACTGGGCAGTTCAGTATCTTCCACAGGAAGATCCCCACACAGGAAATCCCCACAGGCCATCGTTATGCGAACTCAATGATTTTTTCCCTAATGAATATGGTAACACAAGAGAAAGTAAGCTATAGACCTAGAGTTAACAACTGAGATTTTTACACACTCTTAAATGTGCCACCCGAATCCAACTACAGCACTGGAGCTCTCTTTAATATTTCCAAAAACCAGGTAACTGAAGCATAATGCAGTTCAAACCCCCAGATGGAGAGCTCTGCTTCTCCAGGTCCCTACATGTAAGGCGATAAGAGAGATTCCTTGTAACTGCCTGTTATAAGAGAAAACCAATTTTCTCTCTACTCATACAGAAGATTGTGAAAACAAGTGTTTGGTACCTTCTACTGAATTTATCAGAAGAAAAAAAAACACTGACTTCATCATTAACAAGTCAAATCTCTGCTACCACTGGTTTTAATAATGTTTTATGACTTCTAATACAGGCCTAAAATCTATACACTCCTGTGCACATAAAGTACATGTTCAAGAACCAGGAGTTGGACTCAGTGATCCTAGTGGATCACTTCCAACTCAGGATATTCTATGACTCAAGGAGTACACAAAAATTCAGCAAGCCCTTACAGAAGCCTTAGATGACTATTGCTTCGCTTACCTCAAACTTGTAGAACTCCAAATTACATCCATTGAAACCTCACATATTCAAGACAGGCTATAGCTCAGTTTCAAATTCAAATTTTTCAATTAGGTACACTTAAAAATTAACTTCACCGATTACGTAGAATGCATGTAATTTTAAGAGAGAAAAAGCCATCTCTTCACAGATAATGTCACCATATGCAAGTGCTACTTCACAGATGTATCAATTTGGATTACTGGTCTCCAGTGTTTAAGACAGCATTCAAACAGAGCCTTCTGAAAACACATAGATAGCTCACAGGCTGCACACCTTTTTTTAAGCAAGTATTCACTCTACAAAGCACTATCACCCTTTTTTTTTTTTCTTCACCAAATCATTCTTGTGAAGAGTGGTACAGAAACCGGAAAGTAGAGAGAAGCTGCCAGTACGAGATGGGATAAAGAAGTCACTTGCAGAATAAAACGGGGAAATAAACGGGACAGACGCGACAACTCTCAGGGCCGGAGGCGTCCCTCCCCTAAGGAAGAGTCAGGGTTACCTCCCACCCCGCCCCATCCCGCCCCGCATTCGGGCGATACTCAGGCACACCTGCTCCAGAGTAAGCAACAGGAACTCCTCCGAGAGCAGTTCCGGGTGCAGCAGCAGCTCCGAACCCGAACGCCCCGACACACACTCCTCCTTACCACCACCCACCCGACCCTTTCCCTGAGCCGCCATCTTCTTCCCCTAGCGGCCCACTTCCGGTCTCCCACAAGGCCGCCGGGCGCGGGAGGGCGGGTCTAACGGCGGAAGTGACGCGGGCACGTGACGTAACCTCAGCCAATGAGCTCTGCAGGTAGGCTGCGAGTGGCTCTGTTGTGCTTGGATTTACTCCTCTGCATACTAAAGTGGAGAAATGTTTATGTTGCTGTAGCTTTGCTACAGAATTGAATCAAAACCGAACCTCGCCCATAGAAGCACTAACTGTAGTTAATGTTAGTGGGTCTGCAGTAGCAAAAGTTCCTCTGTAATTTGGAAGTAATACAACTGGCTGTTAACTTGAGGTAGTAAACTGCTCACCCATTTTGAAGAAGAATAGGGAATTACGTTACTAAACTAATTTTATTGCTGTTATAACACAAAATCTAATTTCAAGTATTTACTGCTACCTTGATGCGCTATACTTGTGGTTTTTCTGCCTGATATCAAGTTGTTTAAATAATAATATCACGGAATGGTTCGGGTTGGAAGGGACCTCAAAGGCCACCCAGCCTCACCCCCTGCTGTGGGCAGGGCTGCCCCCCACCAGCTCAGCTGCCCAGGGCCCCATCCAACCTGACCTTGAGCGCCTCCAGGGATGGGGCACCACAGCTTCTCTGGGCAGCTGTGCCAGCGCCTCACTGCCCTCTGAGTAAAAAATTTCCCTAAAAACCTTATCCAAGTCTTCTCTCTTTTAGTTTAAAGCCATTCCACCTTGCCCAATCACTATCAGACGTAAAAAGTCACTCTCCCTCCTGTTAATTAAGAAGCAAAACAATGAGCGACGTTAGAAAAGATCACTCAGATCACCCAGTCCAACCAGCAGCCCACCCCCACCATGCCTGCTGACCACGTCCCTCAGCGCCACATCCACATGGTTCTTGAAAACCTCCAGGAACAGTGACTGCGCCACCTCCCTGGGCAGCCTGTGCCACTGCATCACTGCTCTTTCTAAGCGGGGTGACCTTATTGCAGCCTTTCAATACCTAAAGGGAGCCTACAAACAGGAGGGGAGTCAACTCTTTGAAAGGGCAGGTAAGAACAGGACAAGGGGAAATGGTTTTAAGTTGAGGGAGGGGAGATTTAGGTTGGATGTCAGGGGGAAGTTCTTTACAGAGAGAGTGGTGAGGTGCTGGAACAGGCTGCCCAGAGAGGTTGTGGATGCCCCGTCCCTGGAGGTGTTCAAGGCCATTTTGCTGTTGGAGTCCCGCAGGCAGCTCTCAGTGTAAACCCAGAACTACAACCCAGCTCCCCGTACTTCCGAGCTGACGCACGGCCACCACTCACCCACCACCCGCACGACTCAGGCCCCCCCAGCTCCGCCCGCAGCGGGTGGAGCCGGGACAGGCCCCGCCTACCACGTGACGGGAAAGGCGCCGTGCCCGCCCCGCTCTCACCCCGTTGGACGCGGTGACGTTGGCGCCGGGCGGGGCTTCGTCGGCACCGGAAGCGGAGCGCCGGCCAGGCTCGGGCGCTGACAGCGCGGCCTCAGGCCCGGCGCGGCCCCGGCCCCGGTTCCGGCTGCCGGCGCCGCGCGGTAAGGCCTCGGTGCGGCGGGCTCGGTTCTCGGTGTGGCGGCGCCCGGCGCTCGCAGGTACCGCGGGGCGGGTGGGGGACGTGAGGTTGAGGCTGTGGCCTTCGGGCGTGAGCGAGCGGGCGGTGGGCGAGGCGCCTGCGGCGTGGAAGCGGCCCCGGCAGCCCGGTGCCGTCACGCAGGACGTTGCTTCGGCCGTAGGAACGTGTTTGCCTGCAGTGGGCTGGTAGCTGCTGGTGGGCGGCTGTATCGGGAGCCTAGTGCCCGGTAGGTGCTACCTGGGGGGTGGGGAGAGTGCACGCCTCTCGCAATCAACGGGTGCTGGGTCGTCCCTGCGCCCTGGGAGGTCAGGTGTAATGAGCCGGCAGCTTGGCTTCCCTACTGGGGAGTGAACGCTGAGGGGAGGCCTTATAAGTGGATGATTCAGGCTGGATGTGGCTCTGGGCAGCCTGGTTTAGTGGTTGGTGATCCTGCACATAGCAGGGGAGTTGAAACTAGATGATCGTTGTAGTCCTTTTCAACCCAAGCCATTCTATGACATGTTAAAAGGTGATTAATTGTGGTCGGCAGTTCAGCAGAGTTGTCTTCTGGTTCCTTATAGAAGTAAGGTTTTGCACTTGGGCCGGAAGAACCCCAGGCACCTGTACAGGCTGGGGGGAGTTGTCCTTGAGAGCAG